CCGGGCAGGAGCCAGGCACGGGCAGTCAGAGGGCACACAGACACCCAGGGAGGGAGGACCCGGAGAGGGGACACCAGTGCCTCACATGCCAACAGCCCGGAGCAGCACAGATTGGTCACGGCTGCCCTGCCAGGGCTGGGACCCAGCCTCACCCCTGTGCTTTCCCTGCTGCTTCCTGGCTGTGGGGCCTGAAGCCGTGACTCGCGCTGGGGCCCCCTTTCCAGTGATGAACACCCCCAGTTTCTACCAGATTCTCAAAGGGGTGCATGAAGGGGTCCAGGGCCTGCTCTGTGTCAGGGTGTCTCCTTTCTAGACACCCAGCGGCTACTCCCAGGTGGATTAATCCACCAGGATGGAACGGTCCCCGGTCCACATCACAGTCAGCAAAGTGCTTCCTATGAGGAGGGAATGGGGCTGGGCCCCTGCAGAAAACCACCTCGTGGAGGCCCCACTCTGTGCCCTGATGGGAAGGTTTTCCTGGTGGCATGTGAGGGAGGTCGCTCCATCCCTGGGGGACGAGAGAAGCTTAGAACTGGATTCGGGTAGAAATTGGGGTTGCGTTTATTATTTTTTTAAAAGCTTCCTGGCTGAGCTCGCTTCTTTGAAATGTGTTCAAGGGAGCCATTTCTGGAAAGGGCTCTGGGGACTCCTGTACTGTCTTCTCCAGGGCCGGTGCTCTCTATTCTAGCCTCAGTTTGACTCAGCAGAGGACAAGCCAGCTCCAGCTCCCCCGCAGTCACTGTCAAAAAGGCTTCCTTTGCCAGACAAGGGAGCAAGTGCTTCCAAGGCAGGTTCATTCCAGGAGGATGGGTTTCAGATACCCCCAGTGCCATGTGGAGTACAGAGTAGGGACTTAGGGCACGCCTTCCTGAGTCAAGCCCAGTTAGATCTGGGACTGAACTCCAGCTCTGGCACTGGTAAGGCCATGAGATCTGGGGCAAGTCACCTCAGGTGTTTGAGTCTGACGCCACGCCTGCGAAACAGGAGGGTTGGGAGGACCTAGCAGATACGTATGCTTCTTGAAGAAGCCGTCCGGCCATTACAATTGTGAATTCAGAGCCTCCACTTTCTAGCTGTGTGGCCTGGGCACAATCTCAGTTTTTCTGAGTTTTGTTGCCTGAAAAAGTGGGACTGGCAGGACCTACCTAGCAGGATGACTAAGAAGATGAAGTACAATCACGTGAGAGCTCTTAGCTCGGAGCCGGGCAGACCTATGGTGCCCAGGCCCCAGCGGCGTCTGCACGCTCCTTCCCAGGTGGGTGTCCGAATTAGGCCAGGACCATCAAATCTGTTTCTGGCTTTCAGGAGCAACTCGTTCCCACGTGAAAGAGACATTAACAGGATGTCCCAGCTAAACGGCAGAGCTAGACCCATTTAGTATTAAGTTGAAAACTAAGGGAGATTGATGCTTTTAACTTTCCACCCCACAGTTCTGCAATGATACGGCTATTTTATAATAAGAGAAAAATGAGCATAAATTTGCTGACTCTCCCGGGGCCGCCTGGGCACTGCTCTGCCATCCAGCAGTGGATTTACAGCGCTAAGCTGCCCAGGCAGGCAGATCGTGGGGACTGCAGGAAAAGAACCGGCCTAATTGGTACAGTCACCTCCAGATCCTGCTAATACAACAGTGGCCTAGTCCCAGCATTGCTCAGAAGCCGGGCTCAGCTGAGCCCCCTGCTCACACCTATGCTGGCGGCCTGTCCCGGGGAAACATTGTGGTGAGTTGCGCTTGGCCACACGTGCAGCTTGTAACTCTGCCTCTCTTTCCTCTGGGTCAGATGGTAAGGTCCTACCCCCTGGTCTGCCTCCTCCTCCTGCCACTGGGCACCTGCTTTCCTCTACTGGACAGAAGAGAGCCCACAGACGCCATGGGTGGCACTGGAGCCAGAGAAAGCTGGGCCGATCTGGCCGAGGGGCCCCGACCCCACTCTGTGTGGGGCTCCTCTCGGTGGCTGAGAGCTTCACAGCCACAGGCCCTGCTTGTCATAGCCAGGGGGCTGCAGACATCGGGCAGAGAGCATGCTGGCTGCAGGTTCCGCTTCGGGAGGCAGGATGAAGGCAGTGAGGCCGACGACTTCCTCCCTGCCGGAGGGGTGAAGGCCAGCAGCCCGTTAGGGAACCTGGCTGAGGAGCTCAATGGCTACAGCAGGAAGAAAGGCGGCTTCAGCTTCCGCTTCGGTCGGCGGTGAAGGGCCAGGATGCCTTGCAAGGGTCTGCTGTTTGGACTCACCCCCATTGTCTTCACTCCTGCCTTCTCCCCTAGTCTCGAAGACCACGACACCCAGATGGTGTAGGCATGGTTACGATGAACGATCCACGGAAGGACAGGTCAGGAGTGTGCTTACTTTTGATTTCCAACTTTGCTGAAGCGAAAAACTAGGCAGTGTCAAAAAGGAGGCTGTCTTGGCGCCTCGGTCGTCCCAGCCTCTCTCTTCCCCTGGAGCTCTGACTCGGAGCAGCCCCCTGGCCCCAGGGGCACGGAGCTGAGGCTGTGGCTGGGCCATGAATGGGAACAGCAGAGCCAGGCAGCGGGCTGAGGGCTTACAGTTGGTTAATCAAAGTTGTGACAGTCTATAGGGACAACTGCAGCTGACATCACAGTGCAAATGAGTACATTCCACTGGGTACAGAGGATGGTTCTGAAAGTTAAAAATGGGAAAAAAGAATCCGATCCCCTTCTCCATCCCTTTAGCACCAGATCCCCCTGGCAAGAAGCCCCTGCTGTGGTGTGCCTTCCCCTCCGACGGCAGCCCTTCTCCACAGCCCAGTGTTAGCCCGGCCGGGAGTCTCCTGGGAGATGCATTGGGAAGGAATACGTTTTTGCTATAGCAAGGTTGCATTTCATTTGTTCAAAATCAGAATATGTCGTGTGTATCTTTTCAAATAAAAGGTGTGACAACTACAAAACCATACTGGAATGCTGGCCGCCCCCACAGTCTGGGTTCTGGGTGCCTTGCCTTTGGGGAGATGGAGCTCCTGTTGCCTGGACCCAAACACCCCTCCCCTAGATCCCTGTAACTGGCAGTTGGTCAAAGGTGCAGAGGAACACAATACATGTGCTTTTCACTTCCACTCGGCTGCTCCTTCCCAGGTTTCCTAAGAGCGAGGAGCATTCGGAAAACAATTTCTCTGCGCCGGGGAGAGCCCACGCTCAGCCGGGAGTGGCTGCAGGCCTGAGGCCAGGCAGAGCATCCGTTTCAAACGCGCCTTTGGTGTCTCCTGCATCCCATCCCGTGTCAGAGGCAGCCGTCGGATACTGCTCACTCCCGGGCTGGCTTCCGCTGCTGAGATGAGAACTTACATTGATGTTACTATGGCAACCCCTCCCCTCCTCCTTTCGAGCTGCAGCTTGCCCCTGTTCACAATTGAATAATTTCCCATTGAGCTGTCACAATTAATTGGTGGATTTTTATTAGCCTTTTAGAACCACACTGGGCTGGGCCCAGCTTGGCACCTTGGAGTATTTCACAGTGTTTTCCATGCTATTAGTGACTTATACTCCTCAGTAGCAGCTCTCAATCCTTGGCAGCCAGAAAGCCACTTCATTAAGGGGTGACAGATCTGAGCCACAAAGAACCAACCTGACTGGGGAGCAGAATGGGTGCTGAGATGGGAGAGAACACTGGAGTCAGAACATCACCCGGTATGAAAGCTGCCGCCTTCTCCGGGAGCTCCTCACCGCTTCCCCACCACTTCCCACACAGACACTGAGGACCCCTAGGCTTGGCGCATGTGCCCTGAGTCTTAGGGCTGCTGTGATGGGGACAAGACAAAGATTCCTGAGGCTGGTGGGGGTGGGGGTGTGGGGCACATTGTTCTCTTGGGCTCTGCCATTGTCCGAGGACACAGTGGTTCAGGATGCCTCCTGCAAAGGGATGTTGTCACCGCTTGCTAACATGACACTGATGGGGACGGACACATCCCCGGGGTCCTTGCTCTAAGGATGGCCCTGGCACAGGGTGAACAGATTCGCTCACCGTAGGTGTGCTCATGCACCCCATTCTGCTTGACTCAAGGGAGGGGGAGGCAGTAAGCTAGATCAATCCCTTCCTTGGCTCATTCACGCAAAGCAGCCAGAGAATGTGCTCACCAGAGACCGGGTGAAACACAGCAGACTGAGGGCAGAGGGACACCCTGAAGCAAGGTCCCCGGGCCACCCATCACTTGCCAACTTCTGCACCCTGAGCAAGGAGTCACCCACGGCCAGTACTTTAGAGAACACGGAGGCTGAACCACCCTGCACATTCCACAGGCTCTTTGGGGATGCACTGGCTGGTTGTTAATTTAGCAGGATTAGATTAACCTTGATGGAGAAACCTGAGATAAAGAACACGGGGGTGGGGGACGCCTTCAAAGCAGTGGATATGCTGTCATTATGCTTTTATCGTTTTAAAAAACCCAACAAAGCTATTCTTTCCAGTTTGCTTGTACACTTGAGCTCAACAGCCCTGAAAATCCGAACAATCAAGCTGCTAAGGGCACTGCTGTCAAATCAACTCCCGCTGGGCTTGGCTAAGCTTCCTCTTTAACCCCGTGCCCCGCTGCCAAGCCCACCGTGTCTGTCAAGGTCTTTGGGCCTCTCATGCCACCCCAGTGCCCCCTCAGCCCTCGCTCTCTCCGCCACAGGTAAGATTACCCCTCTCCAGGACGGTGAAGGTGATACTCCAGAAAACATTTATTTTGGAAGCAGAGAGGTGAAGCTCCCCTGAGAGGTGCTGGCTCACTCCACCTGGCCCGGCAGTTCCAACTCCTTCAGCCCAGAGCACCTGCGAGCTGCCTGCATCTGCTCGTTACATTTATCCAAGACACAAGGCGGTCTTCATCTTGGTGTGTAGATCTAAAGGTATTTAGCTATCAAGATGAATGGAAAATAATTGTCTTTTCCTGTATGTTCGAAATATTAATAAAAATATTTAAGAAAAAAACCCCAAACAAAACAGGCTCCTGGGGGCGGCCAGCCACAGACAGCTGCTGTAGTCATCAAGAGGGAAACCACCTCATCCTAACTTTGCCCAGTGCCAAAGACGCTGCTTGACACATTTCACTGAAGAGCCCAAACCTGACACGGTACTTTCCAGATTCTGGGCGGGAACGGGGTCATGCCCCGTGCTGCTGGTGCTCCTCCAATCCACAGCTCCTTGGCCCCTCAGAAATGCCCTCCTATAAAAAGAGCTCAGAGGGTTCCCTGATTACAGTAGTGGTATCCACTGGAGTGTGGGGGCAGGGGAGCAAGACGTTAGGTGACCCCCAGGGACAAGGGCAGTGCTGAGAGGGACACTATGGTCAGTCTGGTTTCACCTAATGTCTTCTTGTACGAGGACATTTAGAGTTTGCTTCCCCAGGGCACTCCATTCAGGAAGGCCTCCTCTAAATGATCTCTGCCGCCCAAGTTGCTGGGCTGGCTATAATATTTGGCTGCTTCTCTTCCACTGTGGAGGGACGAATCCGGCCCTGGGCACAGCTCTCTCCTGGTCCTGTTGGGGCTGTCTGCACTGTCTACAAATTAGGCTGCCATGGTAGGCACATGCTGTGTGACCTTGGCAGAGCTGCCTGACATCTCTGAGCCTCTCAGCTTCCTCACCTGTCAAAGGAGGACAGTAACAAAAACTCCTTCATTAAAAAAAAGTGGTGGGCTTCGCTGGGCGTGGTGGCTCACGCCTGTAATCCCAGCACTTTGGGAGGCTGAGGCGGGTGGATCACGAGGTCAGGAGATCAAGACCATTCTGGCTAACATGGTGAAACCCTGTCTCTACTAAAAATACAAAAAATTAGCCAGGCGTGGTGGTGGGCGCCTGTAGTCCCAGCTACTCGGGAGGCTGAGGCAGGAGAATGGTATGAACCCAGGAGGCGGAGCTTGCAGTGAGCCGAGAAGGCATCACTGGACTCCAGCCTGGGCAACAGAGCAAGACTCCGTCTCAAAAAAAAAAAAAAAAAAGTGGTGGGCTGGGCGCGCTGGCTCACGCCTATAATCCCAGCACTTTGAGAGGCCAAGGTGGGCAGATCATGAGGTCAAGAGATCGAGACCATCCTGGCCAACATGGTGAAACTCCATCTCCACTAAAAATACAAAAATTAGCCGGGCGTGGTGGCGGGCAACTGTAGTCCCAGCTACTCTGGAGGCTGAGGCAGGAGAATCGCTTGAACCTGGGAGGCGGAGGTTGCAGTGAGCGGAGGTTTCGCCATTGCACTCTAGTCTGGGAGACAAGAGCAAAACTCTGTCTCAAAAAAAGGAAAAAAAAAATTTTTTTTGAGACAGGGTCTTACTCTGTTGCCCCAGCTAGAGAGTCTAGTGGTGTGATCATAGCTCACTGCAACCGCCGCCTCCTGGGCTCAAGCAATCCTCCCACCTTAGCCTCCTGACTACTGGCGCATGCCACCCAGCTAGTTTTTGTATTTTTTGTAGAGATGGGGTCTATGTTGCCCAGGCTGGTCTTGAACTCCCGGCCTCAAGCAATCCACCCACCTCAGCCTCCCAAAGTGCTGGGATTACAGGCATGAGCCACCCTGCCTGGCCTTTTAAGAAAATGTCTAATACCTTAGGTTGGTGTTTCGTAAATAATAACAACGGACCTCGAAGGCAGAACTCGAAATGACCTGGAAACTGCCGGGTGTGTGCACACAGGTGCATTTTTCTGGGGCTGGGATCCAGTTTTCATTAGGTTCTCAGGAGGTTTTGTGACCCAGAAAAGGTTAAGAAACCACTGTCTTAGAATGTCTAGACCAAACTCAGCTTTTTAAGCTCAGGTGACACCCAGGAAAGACGCCCATTCGGGAGGTGAGAGGCGTCCTCCTCCACACGGCCCCAGTGTGGCCGACTGGCCTCACGTGCAGGAGCTGACTCTGGACATGATGACTCTGGACACGCAGCCTCAGTGATTAGCGCTGGGAGGGCAGGGTAACAGTCCACATCTGACACAAAGAAGCAGCCACCAGCTGTGGCTGTCACCAGAATTGTCCTATGTCTTCGTTCAGACCTGGGAGGAGCAGCCATTCAAAGGACAGCCCTGAGAAGCCCCAGGCTTGGTGGATCTGGTGGCCAGTTATGGTTCAACCGGCAAGGAAACTGGGGGCCCCAACCTGGTTTTGTCCCTGTAAAATGAAAAGCAGAGAATCTGGTGCCTGGCACTGCTCACAGCCACTTACTGTGAGAGCCCTACGGCAGGCGCCACCAGCCCCGGCCCGGCTGGAG